GGGGGGGGGGGGGGGGCGCAGAATATACCAAGATGACGTCTGCTCGATAGGGCCCCCCCCGGTCAGCCGCCCAGCATGAGCAGAAGCGTACGTTCATTCTCAAACTAATATCCGCAGCAGCCGCAACCGTTCGACTACTACAGCGCACCAGCAGTTCGCCCTTGCCTGTGGGGCTCACCAGTCGGAGGAGACACGAAGAATCTGTACTTCGCGCGCGTAGTGTTTTCGCAAAGTCGCCGAAAAAGATCATGACGCGCTTGTCCGTGAGCGCGGCGGTGGGCGCTGCCCTGGTCGCCACCTCTTCTGCCTTCACGCTGAGCGCGGTTCCCTCTTCGTCAGCAGCGATGTCGACATCGTCGGGCCGGGGCCACAGGAGGAGCCGCGCGTGCTCGGCATTGCGGCAGCAGCCGAGCATGGTCACTTCGGTGCCGAGAACGGTGCCCGAGACGGGCACTAAGGCGGGCGCGGCGTCGAAGCAAAGACTGCACGTACAGGTCGGTCCAGTTCTGCTGGCACAATAGTCCTTCCTGGTCTTTGTTATCTTCTGTGTTGGTCGCTACTACCTAGCGTCTCGGCCTCAGCTGTTCCACGCGTCTCTCTAGGGGTATCTGTATCACACCAGTGCGCGGGAGGAGAGGGGCGAGCTGTCCGACAATCTGGCTGAGCAGCCACAAACCAACGAACGGCGTGTGTGTGTTCGATCTTGCTGACGAAAACGTATCTTTTTTTTTCCCCACGGTGGTGGTGCGTCGTTCATGTAAAAAGAAGGACACGTATGCATACACGCGCTTGTCATTTGTCATTACACACATATTTCGTGAGAGGTCGCACGCTCCGGCGAGAACACCCGACAAAACCGAGTTCCCCTAAATCTTCCATCTACAACTTCCCAACATAACATACAGATAGATATACAAGATGGCTACCAAACCGCCTTGTTGAGCCTCTTACCCACAGGGGAGATATCGTTGTATGCTGGCTCGGAAACCGTAGACGTACAGGTAGCCTTCCGCTCACCCTTGTATGGATTCATTGCTATTCTTAGACTTATTTCTAGAGGTAGAGATGGATTTGTTGTGTAATATTAAGAAAAAAAAACGTACGCAACGTGGTCACGCGTAATATCACATATGGAGGATATCCCACCTCGCACACGTACGCCTTCCCTTATCCCTTACAGCTAAGGTGGCTGCAGCATGCGTTGCATATCAGTTCTCTCTCCCTCTCTCCCTCTCTCTCCCTGTTGTAATTATATGCTGCGTCGGGTGTGACCATGAGGGCTCTCTCTATTATAGCTCTCGTTTTTGGAGCGAATTCTTATTCCTGTCTACGAAGAAAAAACATGCTGCTATCTGCATGGATACGGTCGTTGTTCTGACTCACGACTCTCTTCATGTGATACTTTGTATGACACAACTACGTAGCTTCCAGCTGTTGTAGTGACATCTATGCATATCGTCATCATATATATGAATAGGTAGCGGTTTCAGATGCTCAATTGTGTTTTGTCGGAGCGGCCCTGCGGAGCGAGCTGTTTACAGAGCTATTTGCCTCTCTGGCCGCCCTGGTGATTTGCGTTGTTAGAGGAAGGCTGCACTTGTAATTCAGTCTAGATTAGTCAGCAGTGTAATTGGATGTTTCTCCGGGATCTAACAAGATACGCTCTTGAGCGCTTGGGCTCCCAGCTATCTGCGCCAGTGATCTTCGTACCGGAACCCCTTGCCATAGAGTCCCGAGTTTGTGTGAGAGTTTAAAAACCTCTTGAGTAAAGGGCGTTACTTCTTTGCTCATCAAGCGCGGAGCCGCGCGCGATGTCCTTGTTGACCTCACTCACATCACCACTAGAGATATGGCTGAGGCCCAACCAGGCTACTGCTGTTCGCGGCCGTCCCTTCGATTTTGATATGCGAAAAGGAATGTTTCTTTGCCAAAGAGGTGTTGAGCTCGCGAACACTCGAGACGCTGCTGTGGCAAGGGGTTCGCCACTGCTGCCGTATGACAGCTGGGAGGAGCCCAATCGCATACCTTTTGTTAGGTAAAGGCCAATCTGATCCGTGAGACGACGAAGCCAGCGTTGTAGGTGGCAATCGAACCAGCGTTCACATCTTTGGTTAGGGAAAGGCTACTCCATTAGACCACTCAGTACGAATACGCCTTTCATCTTACATCAGCCACCGCTGTATGGAAGCATCTTCGGCCTTGGAACATCTGCTTTTTTTCAATCCTAAATACTTGTTGCTGCTATAGAGGGCTGCTGCTTGCCATGTTCTCGTGCGAGCGGGCTTGCATACCCACATCTTATGATACGCCTACGCGTTGTTTTTCAACTGCAAGGGTCATGAAGATACCGAAAAAATGTAACGTTCTTCCTTCTTGACTGCGTTTTGGCTAATGTGTTTTCTGCATTGGTGTGGACCTATGCATACCTGCTCGCAAAGTGTAGTGCTTGAACTCCCTACGCGCACCTGCATATGTCGGTTGCCTACATTAAGTTCAAGCTAAATGAACTCATCTGTTTAGTCTACACACGGTGTTAAAAGATACGTGTTCGAAAACCCGGCATCGGTGTGCACAATCCCCGACAAAGCATGCACGAGCTTTCTGGCAAAACCAATACTTCCTCTGTGTTTGTTGCCCTCTGACGCTCATCTCGCACAGCTGGGAGACGCTTTCTATGACTTGACGGGCTGGCGGAAGTTGCACCCGGCCGGGAACCACTGGATCGACCGGTACGCGGTGAGTCCAAGGCAGGCATCACGAACAGGGGGGGGGGGGGGGGATTTCTCATGCAAAC